TTCCCTGAATCCCTTCATAAATGTTACTTTGCTCACACTCCAACAGCACATCATTAAAAACCATTTGTCTCCATTCACTCCTATCAAACATGCTCATGCATGCCCGCTGGAAGTCCAAGCCCCTTGCACAGAAAACCTCCTTTACCCCCTCCCTCCAACCTTTCCTAGGCCGACCCCTACCCCGCCTTCCACTACAGACTGATACACTCTTGAAGTCATTCAGTTTTGCTCCATTCTCTCTACATGTCCGAACCACCTCAACAACCCTTCCTCAGCCCTCTGGACAACAGTTTTAGTAATCCCGCACCTCCTCCTAACTTCCAAACTATGAATTCTCTGCATTATATTCACACCACATATTGCCCTCAGACATGATATCTCCACTGCATCCAGCCTTCTCCTCACTGCAACATTCATCACCCATGCTTCACACCCATATAAGAGCGTTGGTAAAACTATACTCTCATACATTCCCCTCTTTGCCTCCAAGGACAAAGTTCTTTGTCTCCACAGACTCCTAAGTGCACCGCTCACCCTTTTCCCCTCATCAATTCTATGATTCACCTCATCTTTCATAGGGAAATCTTAAAGTGGTGCCAGAAACAGAGGACTGTCGGCAGTTATTTTGTGAGACAGGGGTCCAGTGACTCTCAAGCTGGTCCTAGTGGCATTAAAAGACAGAGAAGGGAAGTAACCCCAGAGAAGGCTTTGATACCTAAAGTCCTTATGGAAGGGGATTCCCCTTCCAAACACTAACCCCAGCTCCCTCTCTCCTCCTCCTTATCTTCCAAATGCCATCACCAATCTTCAATAAAGGTAAGTAAAAATGTTATTTTATATGTTTATTTAAATTTATTAATACATAATTGTACACTATATTTGTTGTGTGTATGTAAAACTATAATTAATCTCTATAAAATGTATTTTTTTTTGTGAATATTTTTGGGTTAATGGAACGGATTAATTGTATTTCCATTATTCTTATGGGAAATATTGCTTCACTTTTCAAACTTTTCGAATTTAGAACTAGCTCCTGGAACGAATTAAGTTCGAAATTTGAGGTTCCACTGTAATTATTATAATTATTATTATTAATTTAGAGAACTGAAGCTCGCTCATTATTATTATTATTATTATAATTATTATTATTATTATTATTAATTTAGGGAACTGGAGCACAGATCCAATTCCCTAGATCAAGAGCCCCTAACCAGCCTCACAAACACTCAATTTTCAGAAGGGGAAGAATGGGAAGATATGGTCAGTGTGGCAGTGGCAATGGCTGCTGCCACCCCTCCCATAATGACATATTTTATTCATTATAGAGTATATATATACAGTGGTCCCTCGTTTTTCGTAATTAATCCATTCCTGGAGCCGTTACTATAAAAAAAATTTACGATTTGCGAATCAATTTTTCCCATAAGAAATAATGTAAATACAATTAATCCATTCCTGACACCCAGAAGTATTAAAACAAAAAATTTTTTTACATGAAATATACATATAGTACATAAACAATACAATGGGAAATGATGAATGAAACATTAACAGCATAACACTTACCTTTATTGGAGATTCTTCTTAGTGTATGGGAGACTGGAGGAGGAGAGAGATTGGATTGTTTACAGTTTGGAAGGGGAATCCCCTTCCAGCAACACCTCAGGTACCAATTGCTTCTCTGGGGTTGCTTCTCTTCTCTGTTTCTTAATGCCACTAGGACCACCTTGAGAGTCACTCTAGTCCTGTCTCGCAAAGTTACTGTGGAGAGAGCTCTGTTTCTGGCGTCTCTTTAACACTTCCTGAAAATGGCCCAAGACTTTGTCACTGTACATATTTCTCACCTTCTTTACCACAGGCTTGGCACTAGGAGCTTTCTTTGGAGCCATGGTAGCTTATTTAGTAATTGCAAGCACTAAAATGAGTGGAATATTATGAAATACAGTACATGTATATCGTAGGAGCACTTGAGGGGACCTTCACTCACTGGTAAACAATGCCAGACTGGCTGGGTAGGGAGGCCGCCCCGGCTCACACCGTGCGTACGCGTCCCAGACGAACTACTATTTGCGAGTCAACCTATGAAAAGCGAGTCCATGTTTATACGAAAATACCCCTATGATTGGCGAAATTTACGATTGCCGAGAACTACGAAAAGCGAGGGACCACTGTATATATAGTGGACCCTCGGGGAACGGCATTAATCCATTCCAGAGAGCTTGCCTTTAACCGATTTTGTCGTTAGCCGAATTAATTTTCCCCATAAGAAATAATGGTTCCAGACACCCAAAAGTATTAAACAAAATAATTTTTTTACATGAAATATACATTTCCCTACACAGAAAACAATGAGACATGCAGAATAAACAATACTGAAATGACACTTACCTTTATTGAGGACTTATTGATGAGTGATTAGATGGAAGGAGGGCAGAGGATGGAGGAGTTTACAACTGTTTGGAAGGGGAATCCCCTTCCATAGAGACTTCAGGTAACAAGTCCTTTTCTGGGGTTACCTCCCTTCTTTGGTTTTTAATGGCACTAGGACCAGTTTGGGAGTTAGTGGACCCCCTGTTGCACCAAACAGCTGTGTCAGAACTGGCAGCCTCACCATGCCTTATCACACTGTGTATGCCACTATGATTCTTAAATCTCTCAAACCAGCCTTTGCTGGCCTTAAATTCATCAATATGAGCACTATTTGGAGGCATTTTCTTAATGAGATCCGCATGTAACTGCCTTGCCTTTTCACGTATTATTGACTGAGAAACACTCTCCTGATAATTGTTTCTCGTTGATCCACACCAACAACAGTCTCTCCACAGCTTCGAGTATTTGCAATCTCTGTTTTGTAAGCATACTTGCACCTTTCGCAATAACAGCTTCCTTGATTGCCTTTTTTGTTGGCCAAGATAGTAGTGATGGTTGAATGGGGTTTGTTACATAACTTGGCCAACTCGGAGACATGCACTCCACTTTCGTATTTTGCGATGATCTCTTTCTTCAATTCAATAGTATTTCTCACCCTCTTTACCACAGGGCTCTGGTGGCCTGGTGGTTAACACTCTCGCTTCACACGGTGAGGGCCTGGGTTCGATTCTCAGCCAGAGTAGAAACATTGGACGTGTTTCTTTCCACCTGTTGTCTATGTTCCCCATCAGTAAAATGGGTACCTGGGTGTTAGTCGACTGGTGTGGGTCGCATCCTAGGACACTGACCTAAGGAGGCCTGGTCACAGACCGGGCCGCGGGGGCGTTGACCCCCGGAACTCTCTCCAGGTAAACTCCAGGGCTGGCACTAGAAGCTTTCTTTGGGTCCATGGTGGCTTATTTAGCAGTTACAAGAACTAAAAACAATGGAATACAAAATATATCGTATGTACGCATGGAATCGTCCTCACTGGCTTGTAAACAATGGCACACTAGCTGTACATGGCGGCATGGAGTGGCTGGGCGGCTCAGGCGGACACGTTCAGGTCAAATGTCCTTAACTGAGTTCTTGAGCGTTAGCCGATCCAATATTTTGACGCAAAAATGTGGCGCTATCCGATTTTGGCGTTAGCCGATGATGCCATTACCCGAGGGTCCACTGTATGGTGTTTCTATGTTATTTATATTGTTTATTATGTCATATTGGATTAATTGTCATAGATAAATGAGCCATAGAGTCGATACTAGCGCTATATTGAAGTACAGTGGTACCTCGGGACATGAACTTAATTCGTTCCAGAAGGTTGTTCAGGTGGCGATACCGAATGAATTTATTCCCATACGGAATAATGTAAATTAGATTAATCCGTTACAGACCCCCAAAAATACATTTATAAAAGCACTTACGTAAATAAACTTACTATATAATTGTTCGAGTTTTGAGCTGTTCGTAACCCGAGGTACCACTGTACTGTATTTTGTCCTGCCTCCCGAGAGCAGGAATTCTGCTGGAACAGATTAATGGCATTTCAGTTAATTTAAGTGAGGAAAATTTATTTGATATACGAGCAAATTGAGTTACGAGCTAGGTCACAGAATGGATTTAACTCGCAAGTCGAGGTTCCACTGTATATATATATATGGTATAGCTTTCAGCCTTGTTTTAGCCAGCCCCAGAAGGCTATCAGCCAGTGAACAGACAACAAGGAAAAGCCAGAAGCAGAGAACAGTGCACCATGTGACATGCAAGTACATTACTGCTAAGACACCCGTGGATCCTGCACCTGGTCATTACTCATCAATGTCATTTAGCTAATCAGCCACTGGGTAACCAGGCCATGGTCAGTAAGTGTCCAGATCATGGCCAGTAAGTGTCTAGGCCACAGCCAGTGGAAGAACACAGTACTAGTTATCAGCATACAGTTTGTACTTGCCCCTCTGTTTCCTTAGGAGCCTCAGTGAGGAGTCATGTGGATAGACAGCTAAAGTCAGTACCTGACCAGCCGGGCTATGGCTTGTACATTGGTTTGCATGTGAACAGCAGTAACAACCTGGTTGAACAGGCCCTGATTCACCATGAGGCCTGGTCACAGACCAGGCCGTTAGGGTGTTGACCTCTGAAACCCTCTCCAGGTATACTCCAGGTATTAGTGACAGTGTCATACTAAAACTGCTATTGTCAAATTCCCTATGAATAATTTCTACAATGTAGTACATACTGTAGTGTGATCACTCTCAGTCACCCAATAAAGTTGTCACTGTGCATTTTTAATTTTAGATGAATGGTTCAGAGAACCGACATGTAGATAAATTAGACACATGTGCAACTCTTGGGTATCTTTATTGAGGAAACGTTTCGCCACACAGTGGCTTCATCAGTCCATACAAAGGAGAATCTTGAAGAATAGGAGGAGAATGAGGTAATCAGTCCCTCAACCTTGAGTCGATGTGGTCAGTCCATCAATCTTGAATAGATTGATGGACTGACCACATCGACTCAAAGTTGAGAGACTGATTACCTCATTCTCCTCCTATTCTTCAAGATTCTCCTTTGTATGGACTGATGAAGCCACTGTGTGGCGAAACATTTCCTCAATAAAGATACCCAAGAGTTGCACATGTGTCTAATTAATTTTTAATTGCATACTTGCTTGAGCTTGTCAAACATGTATGCCAACACCCTAATTCCAAGGTGGTCATTTGCAACAATACAGTGGACCCTCGACTAATGCTATTAACCCGTTCCTGAGAGCTCATCGTTAGTCAAAATTATCGTTAGTCAAGTTAATTTTCCCCATAAGAAATAATGGAAATCAAATTAATCCGTGTAGGACACCCCAAAGTATGAAAAAAAAATTGTTTTTTTACCACATGAAATATTAATTTTAATACACACAAACTGAAGAAGACATGCACAGTTACATGACTCTTACCTTTATTGAAGATCTGGTGATGATTGATGGGATGGGAGGAGGGGAGAGTGTTGATGGTCTTAGTGTTTAGAAGGGGAATCCCCTTCCATTAGGACTTGAGGTGGCAAGTCCTTTTCCGGGGTTACTTCCCTTCCCTTTAAATCTCTCAAACCAACCTATGCTGGCCTTAAATTCACTCACATCACCACTAGTTGCTGGCATTTTTTTAATTAAATCGTCATGCAACTTCCTAGCCTTTTCACATATGATCGCTTGAGAAATGCTATCTCCTGCTATCTGTTTTTCGTTTATCCACACCAACAACAGTCTCTCAACATCTTCGAGTACTTGCGATCTCAGTTTCGAAAACATAGTTGCACCTTTGGCAAGAACAGCTTCCTTGATTGCCATTTTCTTGCCCACAATAGTAGCAATGGTTGATTGAGGTTTTGTGTACAACCTGGCCAGCTCGGAGACACACACTCCACTTTCATACTTAGCAATGATCTCTTTCTTCATCTCCATAGTAATTCTCACCCTTTTTGCTGTAGGGTTGGCACTAGAAGCTTTCTTGGGGCCCATGGTGACTTATTTTGCAGGTGCAATCACTAAAAAGGCTGTGATAATATGAAATGTTCCGAATGTATGCTTGGAAGCGACCGCGGTGGCTGGCTGGCTTGTAAACACTGACCAGAAGTGGACGCGTCTCAGACGGAACGAATAGTACTGGTCGAGTTTTTTAGCGCTAGTCGAGGCAAAATTTTTGCGTTAAAATGTATCACTAGTTGGATTTATCGTTAATCGATGCCATCGTTGGTCGAGGGTCCACTGTACATTAAAAATTACTGAAGGTATTTACAGGAAATCCTGTCAAAATAATATCCTCACATATAGAATTAGTATCACAGATAATTACAGTACACAGAATTACCACATGATTAAAATACTCACAGCAGCATTTCAGTAATTTCCCAAACTACACCTGTAGTACTCCATGTGACCATTTTCAAAGTGTAATAAAAATATATATACTGTACAATCCATGATCCCAATCCCTTACTGTAACACATGATCGAAGTCATATCTTACAACAAGTACAGGTCAGTAACTGCTCTTGATTATCTTGAGAAAATTTATCCTTTGTTAGTGCTGCTTCCTTAATTCGTTAAAGCCTACATTCAATCATGAAATTTTAAATCTTTAAATATAACATTTAACTTACTGAGGCAATATAAAACAATAAATTTACTTTATAAATAATTTATCACCTAATTCCTATTGGCTTTATCAAGTGGAAAAGAGCACTTCGATGAACTTAAGGCAAATTTTAAAATTTTGTCGTTATTGCACCTATTATACAAAGGACACAGCTGCCTTTTGCTGCATTGGACGGTTTAGTTAGTTTGATAGTTTTATCAGGTACTCCATACCCATTCCCTGGGCAATGATCCAAAGATTAGAAGCACATAGTAAGTGAAGGGACTAGGCTCTAACACTGATGTTAGCTAGGTAAATTACCTATAGAGACAGGTGACTACATGGGCACCTTGACTATCCAGTCTTCCTCTTCTCTTAAACATTATTTTCTCTTTATAACACTGTTACTGGAATATTACAATACATTACTTACACAGCTGAACCTCATAATTTGCATGCTCTATAATCTGTATCATTCAAGCATACTATTTTTAATGAAGGCTATTTAGAGAAGAGCTTCAATTATTAACAGCTTTTCTTGGTGACCACTGTTATTTTCTTTTACTTGGCAAATCAGAGCAATATTTAGAGAAATAAAGGCAATTTTTTTTAAATAACTCATACATGTGAAATTTTCTATTATCTGCAGCTTCACGATTTACAGTACCTCCAGGAACCTAACCCCAAGAACTACAGGGTTGCATTGTACACTTAAAATTTGTACAGTATAGTGCAAGTATTGTATAGTATTACAGTCTTTTTAATGCCAAACACCATTCAAAATACAGTGAGTCTATGATTAAACAGTAAGTTATCATAGCCTTTGGTGATATGTTTAACTGCGGTTGAATTCTTGAATAAAGTCTAGAAGAGCATCAGTATGAGGATCAGGAACCACTGCCAGCCAGGCTAACACTGCTAATGATGACCGAGCAACACACACCCATCGCCACCACATCACTAATTCTGTTACCTGAAATAACAAATAATGCTTGGATCTTTAGAGTACAGTCAATTTTAACACTGTAAATCTATTAATTTTTCCCCCCAAAAAGAAATTAGATTGCAACCAAGTGTTAATAATGGAAGAGTTTTAGTAGCATCAAATGACGCACACACACATGCACACACACCAAATTGAGGGGGAGAGATTACAACATTTTTGCAGGTCATATTATGTGTAGTAAAGTCTTTACTCGAGATGTTAATCTTCTCACTGTCTTCCATGTAGATCTGCCAGTGTCGCTCATAGAGATCTACATCTTAGGGACAGTGCCCTCAAACATTTAATGAGCAGTAAATTTTGACCTAGACATGAGAAGATGGTTCTGTGTGGAGGGTGTGCACAGCATAGAAAAAATCCTGCCTTACATAGTGCATGACAGGTTTAATCTAGAGACTTTGACGAGCTTTCTGGGATGGTTTTTATGGTTTTACTGGCTGTTTTTCAGCATCAGTTGATAGATGAAGATATAATATGAAACAGGGATGATTCTGGACAGTTTCAGACCAAAAGTAGATTATAATAGGCCTGAAAGTGGTAGAAATAACTGATTTTGGGCAATTTTCTTGAGGAAGGATTGAGTCCCCTACCCAATCAATCTGTTTTATGGCTTTATACTAGGTCTGCTTCAGTTATTAGGATGGCCTAAACATAACCAATTATATTTGATTATATTTCATTATCTGAGAAACAGGGTAAAAATCAAAGATTTTTTGTGTGATGGTGGATTTAAAATGTGAGGGCAGATATTATATAAGAGAAGCTTGGGAATGTAATTAATGAACAGAGGAAAGGCTGCTTTATTGATTGAAACAACTGTTTTCAAATTGGAATTTGTTGAATATTGTGTAAAACTGGCTAAATTACTGACTTCTGTGCACTTTATAGGATAGCTGAATGGACCAGTTTCTTGCACTCAATCAATAGAACAGAAGCTAGGAAATGGAATGAATTGAAAGGGGATATTAATAAGGTCTTGAGGATGTCTCTCCAAGAGAGAACCCGCAGTAATGGATTTAAATTAGATAAGTTTAGATTTAGAAAGGACATAGGAAAGTATTGGTTTGGAAATAGGGTAGTTGATGAGTGGAACAGTCTACCTAGTTGGGTTATTGAGGCTGGGACTTTGGGTAGTTTCAAATCTAGGTTGGATAAGTACATGAGTGGGAGGGGTTGGATTTGAGTGGGACTTTCACATCAGAGCTTATTTCTTGGGTGGCATTGAAAATTGGGTTGGGCAAATGTTTTGTTAGTGGGATGAATTGTAAAGGACCTGCCTAGTATGGGCCAGCAGGCCTCCTGCAGTGTTCCTCCTTTCTTATGTTATGTTCTTATGAGCAATGTAATTAGTTAAAACTGCACACAGACTGCCAACTTTGCTCCTGTGTACCTACATAAGTTTTCCATAAAATTTAGCATTTCTGATGTCATTACCTTCAGAAAAAGATTACCATTTCAGAACTATTTTTTTTTTTTTTTTTTGGGGGGGGGGGAAATTGCAACACTGTCAGCCCTTTTAATTTCAGGGGTCATGACAGTGAAAGGGTTAATAATCTCTCAACACACGTGAGGTTGTAAGTGAGGCAATCAGAAAAGATCCTTAGTTCTTCTTTATTACTATTATTTAACTGGAATTCATTACCAGAAGATACTAAAAAGTAACCCAGTCTGAAAATCAATTTAAGACTACTCAAAAGCCACTTAATCACCCTAGACTAAATGTTAAATACTCAGTACCCACATACTCAATATGTATTCCCATATCATAATTTCAACAATTACTTTTAAACCTTTTATCCATTGTTGACAGGAATATAATTGAATCATTGTTTTCACAAAAAGCATTTTTGAATATATGAATATATCTCTTGTCTTATATAAATTAGATTCACTTATAATTAATAATCTACTGAACAACTATGATATAATTCTTAGTGTTAAGTAGTCAGTAAGCCAATAATGTTAAGTCAGCCCATAATGCCTAGGCATAATAGAGGCTCTCTTTGCATTGCAACCCATTATTGTAAATACATAATCTATTTGCAAAGACATAAATAAATAAAAAATAAATTAAAATAAATTTTGTGAATGGTTGCTTCTTCTAGACACCTAAGTCTGGTTTTATCTGGATCTCGAACAGTAACAGTTTACCTGTTTTGTTTTGTTTTTCATTGCAAGAGAGGAGAGTGTAGGTTGTTAAAAGGTGTTACACAAGCACTGATAGTGTTCCTTGTTCTCCATGTATATTTGCATTCTTTAACTCTTTTGCTTAGAGTGTTGCAGTTTTGTGTCTCTCCAATGAGACACAGAACTGCAATCTATACAATGAATCTTGTAAAGACCAGCAGTAGTGTTGTAACTATTGTCATGTTTTGGATAACTTAAGCTACAAACTTGGCAAAAAATATGCAAACTAATAAATTTACAAATCTCAGCGATGGTTTGAACAGTGTGGCATGCTAGTAAAATAATAAAGGTCAGCCATAACATTTTTCTTTGTCTTTATTGAATTTCGTCTAGTTTTTTCTTAACCCTTTGACTGTCGCAAGCCCATTTCTGAAACTGTCATTCTATGTCGAAAAATATTCGGAAAAAAAAAAAATTCTTACCAAAATGTTAGGATTATTTTACTGAGTGTTTTAAGTCTAATTTTTTTTTTTTTTTTTTTTGCCATCAGTACTTACTGAGATATAGAGATGCAAAGTTGGCAGAAAATGAGCCGCATATGGCAACAGCGGCGAATGCCGCTCACCTGGTATTCTTTTATTTGCTCCAATTTGAAGATTTCTTGTATTTCTATCTAGGCTGGAATATTGCTGCATACTAACAGCACCTTTCAAGGCAGGTGAAATTGCTGACCTAGAAAATGTACAGAGAACCTTCATGGCGCGCATAAAGGAGATAAAACACCTCAATTACTGGGAGCGCTTGAGGTTCCTGAACCTGTATTCCCTGGAACGCAGGCGGGAGAGATACATGATTATATACACCTGGAAAATCCTAGAGGGACTAGTACTGAACTTGCACAAGAAAATCACTCACTACGAAAGCAAAAGACTTGGCAGATGATGCAACATCCCCCCAATGAAAAGCAGGGGTGTCACTAGCACGTTAAGAGACCATAAAATAAGTGTCAGGGGCCCGAGACTGTTCAACTGCCTCCCAGCATACATAAGGGGGATTACCAACAGACCCCTGGCAGTCTTCAAACTGGCACTGGACAAGCACCTAAAGTCGGTTCCTGACCAGCGGGGCTGTGGCTCGTACGTTGGTTTGCGTGCAGCCAGCAGCAACAGCCTGGTTGATCAGGCTCTGATCCACCAGGAGGCCTGGTCACAGACTGGGCCGCGGGGGCGTTGACCCCCGGAACTCTCTCCAGGTAAACTCCAGGTATTTTCCAATATTTTTCTTTTCTAAGTAACTTATGTGGCCTGTGAGACCAAAGGAAGTGCACTGTTCAAATATACACTCATTGTATACAACACAATAACTGCACAAACATTATAATTATTATATTGTTTACAAAACTTGTTTACATAAATCAACAATACAAAAGATTGTTTATTACTACTGTTCTATAATATATATACATATGTACAGTCACTGAACACTTTCTAGAACTGCTGCAGCTTGTGGAACTCTTTGAAACATGGGTATATGCAGAGTGGCACTTGACACTCCTCACATATAGAACGAGTGTCTCTGCATTTTTGTGGGCATTTTGTGGTATGTGCACAGACAAAACACCTCTTCCGAGTACTTTTCTTGAAAGCAGTAGGAGGCAGTTGTATGGGGTAGTGATCACCAGGCCTCAGACGAGATGGCATGTGTTGGTAATTTCGTGGGTGCTGGTTTATTGCAGGTGTTGCTCCTTGGTACTTGAATATTATTTGTCTGATGACTGACAAACAAAATTCACCATATTTTGGTTTGTTGTTGGTCTTCAACTTGTATATGTTATAAGCATTCAGCATGGAAATATCAAGAAGATGGAAAAAAAGTTTTATGTACCACTTATAACTCTTGCATACACAATCAGCAAACCCAATCTGCACGTCACATTTGTCCACTAAGCGCATACTGAGGTTGTAGTCCATCACAGCTGTAGGTTTTAGAATGTGACATCACGTTTGTCATGCCACCGAAATGCCATGATGTCATTGGCAACAAAGGCCTGCACCTCACCTCTGCGAGTGCCACCGTCGAACCTAGGTATATGCTTATGATTACCACGCACTGTGCCACACACATCTGTCATGTTCACTCGCAAGAAATCACTGAGTATGGGGCTTGTGTACCAGTTATCAGTATATAATATATGCCCCTTACCAAGATATAGTTCCATCATTGTTCTAACCACATCACCAGAGATACCCAATAACTTCCTGGTATCTCTCAATGTATTACTGCCAGTGTACACAATTATATCCAAAACCAGGCCACTTTTGCAATCACACAGTACAAATAACTTTATACCAAAGTGTTTCCTCTTGCTTGGTATATACTTCTTGAATGACAGTCTGCCTTTGAACAAAATCAAAGACTCATCAATAACAAGCTTCCTGAAGGGATAAAAATGCATACAGCACTTTTGTTTCCGGTACATGAACACAGTCCTGATCTTACATAACCTGTTGCTTCTGTCAGGCCTGGTTTTGTCTGAGAAGCGCAGCATACGTAACAGTATATAAAAACGATTCACTGGTATAACATCCCTAAAACCTGAGGTTGAAATCAGGCATTCCGTTGACCAGTATGTGGTGACAGTGTGCTTATACACGTGTGGCATAAGCATTATTGTGGTAAAGAACAGGTACATCTCTGCCACAGTTGTGTCCTTCCACTGGTGTAGCCATGACCTTGGTGAAAGAATTGTGTTTTGCCATGGTGTACTCATAGTATGTGTTGCTTTCCCTGACAATAATTACCATCAGGGGTTCATCGAAGAATAACTGAAAGCATTCCAGCTCAGTGGCATTGTTCTCAAGTGTACACGATGGCCGTATTCCACTTTGTGTTTCATCAAAGTCACGAGGATTGGGAACAAAACTGGCAAGTTGCTGCCAATCCCAGATGCGGTCTGCTGGTGAGTTCCGGATATTGAAAGGTGGTTGTGGTTGTGCAGGTTGTGGATGTTGTGGGAGTGTGGGGATGGTTGAGGTTGGTTGTGGCTGTGCTGAGTTAGCACAGCCATCACCACCACCATCACCTGCCCCATGCACATTACACATCTCCATTGTAACAATATCGTCATCGTCATTCTCAGGTCGTGGTGTAGGGCCACGGGAAGTACTCCAAAATTTACTCCTTTGCCTTGGAAGGGCATATGGCACACTACCAGAACGCATGCTGCGTCATACATACTGCCGTTTCACTGGCGAATATTTCCCCTCACTGTCACAACTCGAGCTGCTTTCAATAACTTGGAAATCACTATCATTATCACTTTCACTGCTCAGATCCGAGTCCTGTAGACAGGGAAATAGTTTCCTTTTTTGTCCTGGTACAGGTGAACGTGAATGAGACAGCCCAGCACCAGAGGTGGAAGGTTGAGGGTCATCTGGGTTTTCATCACTAAATATGTTATCCTGGGCACTGCTTTCGGTCACACCCTCTTGAAAACCACAGAATACACTTTCACTGGCACTTCCATCACTGTTAGAACTATCACTTGGGAACAGAAGACCTCCAATTCGGCAAGGAGTGAGGTACTTCTTATCGCGAGGCATGGTGAACATGGACTACCAAGATGGCATTCCCACAATGCACCACTGAGTCCTGATTTTTTTCACAGGGCACACACCCACCACGCAGACCCATTCTCTTACATGTAGGCCAACCAGCTTTCTCACACTTGATCTGAAGCCGCTAGAATTTACGCGTATTAATACATCGGAAACATTGGCATGTAAGACATACACCTACCATCCGACTTACGACCTGCTCAACTTACGACCACTCGACTTACAACCGTGTTTTTTATGCCAAATTTCTGGGAAATAAACAACTATTTCTGTTGTACACAGTGTTTATCCTAAACCTTACAATATAAAATACAGTACTAACAGCATAAAAAGTAAAGTAAAACATGAAATACCAAAATAAAACAATAAAATAAAGTCATTACAAAAATGTTTTGTTGATATTCAGTAGTAAAGTTCGACTTACGACCATTTCGACTTACGACCGGTTTCTCGGAACCGAACTCGGTCGTAAGTTGGATGGTAGGTGTATATACACGACCGAAACAGTCAAAGGGTTAAAGATAGTCAAAATAATCTTGGAGCTGTAAATATTAAGGGCTCTTAAAAATCCATGATTACACCTCTCTTTATATTTATGTTATGATTGCAAAAATAATGTATGAGGTTTGTTTATATGATGGCATCCTGTAAACGTTTGAAGAAAAGTTTTTTGTCTTCCTTGATGAGTGGAGTACTTAGAAAGGGAAGCTGGTGGTTAAACCCTGTCTCTAGAGTGAATTACCAGCACTTTCCATATAAATATAATGTTGATGCATTTATCATTGCAGTTAGTGAAAACTTTAACCTAAGCACAGTATTTTAATCCCTTGATATATTTTTTTTAAATTAACTTCAAACACTATAGTCACAGTCTATACATTTTTAATGGATACATTTTATGGTACAGAGAAATTTATATTGAAGACAATTTGTTAATACCATACTTTATATTCAGACAACTTACCTCTTTCTCTGAAAATCCTGAGCTCTGATAAACTTGGAAATTAATGAGGACATTTTCAGTGCGTATAGCAACCAGAGATAGCACCAAGGAAGAGATGTAGAATGCTGTGGTCCATGGTACCTTAATACCATGACCAGAAAACACCCCAGTTCCAATAAGGTCACTTCTGCAATCATTTAGTAAAAAAAATAAACAAATACAATTAGTTTCTCACTAAAATAAATAAAAATAATACCCCTAATACTCAGTCTTAATTTAAAAAAAATCTAATTCTTATCTGATGTCCTTTACTAAATGCTCAATTTTCACTAAATTTTGTATTGCAATATTATACTATAATTTTATATTTTAGTATATATGTATTATATTTATATTCACTGAGCAATATATTTTATTTGTAGTATACAGTGGACCCCCGCATACCGTTGGCCTTACATAACGTTAAATCCGCATACCGATACATTTTATCGCTAAGATTTTGCCTCGCATACCGCTAAAAAACCCGCTCAACGCTGTTCATCCGAGACGCATCTAATGTGCGGCCTTAGCCAGCCTCACATGTTCCCCCAGTGGCATTGTTTACCAGCCAGCCTCCGCGGTAACATCCAAGCATACAATCGGAACATTTTGTATTATTACAGTGTTTTTGGTGATTTTATCTGCAAAATAAGTGACCATGGGCCCCAAGAAAGCTTCTAGTGCCAACCCTACAGGAATAAGGGTGAGAATTACTATAGAGATGAAGAAAGAGATCATTGATAAGTATGAAAGTGGAGTGCGTGTCTCCGAGCTGGCCAGGTTGTACACAAAACCCCAGTCAACCATCGCTACTATTGTGGGCAACAAAAAGGCAATCAAGGAAGCTGTTCTTGCCAAAGGTTCAACTGTGTTTTCGAAACAGAGATCGCAAGTGATGGAAGATGTTGAGAGACTCTTATTGGTGTGGATAAATGAAAAACAGATAGCAGGAGATAGCATCTCTCAAGTGATCATAAGTGAAAAGGCTAGGAAGTTGCATCAGGATTTAATTAAAAAAATGCCTGCAACTAGTGATGATGTGAGTGAATTTAAGGCCAGCAAAGGTTGGTTTGAGAGATTTAAGAAGCGTAGTGGCATACATAGTGTGATAAGGCATGGTGAGGCTGCCAGTTCGGACCACAAAGCAGCTGAAAAATATGTGCAGGAATTCAAGGAGTACATAGACAGTGAAGGACTGAAACCTGAACAAGTGTTTAATTGTGATGAAACAGGCCTGTTTTGGAAGAAAATGCCAAGCAGGACCTACATTACTCAGGAGGAAAAGGCACTCCCAGGACATAAGCCTATGAAAGACAGGCTTACTCTGTTGATGTGTTCCAATGCTAGTGGTGATTGCAAAGTGAAGCCTTTATTAGTGTATCACTCAGAAACTCCCAGAGCATTCAGGCAAAAGAATATCCTCAAGGCTAATTTGTGTGTGCTGTGGAGGGCAAACAGTAAGGCATGGGTCACTAGGGACTTTTTCTATGACTGGTTACACCATGCATTTGCCCCCAATGTGAAAGATTACCTAACTGAAAAGAAATTAGACCTTAAGTGCCTCCTGGTGTTAGACAATGCCCCTGGTCATCCTACAGACGTGGCAGAGCGACTTTATGGAGACATGAAGTTCATTAAGGTGAAGTTTTTGCCTCCTAATACCACTCCTCTCCTGCAGCCCATGGACCAGCAGGTTATTGCAAACTTCAAAAAACTGTACACAAAAGCTCTGTTTGAAAGGTGCTTTGTAGTGACCTCAGAAACTCAACTGACTCTAATAGAGTTTTGGAGAGATCACTTTAATATCCTCAATTGTGTAAACCTTATAGGTAAGGCTTGGGAGGGAGTGACTAAGAGGACCTTGAACTCTGCTTGGAAGAAACTGTGGCCAGAATGTGTAGACCAAAGGGATTTTGAAGGATTTGAGGCTAACCCTGAGAGGAGTATGCCAGTTGAGGAATCAATTGTGGCATTGGGGAAGTCCTTGGGGTTGGAGGTTAGTGGGGATGATGTGGAAGAGTTGGTGGAGGAGGACAATGAAGAACTAACCACTGATGAGCTGCTAGATCAACTTCAACAGCAAGAGGCCAGACCTGAGGAAACTGGTTCGGAGGAGGGGAGAGAGAAATTGAAGAAGTTGCCTACTACAAAGATTAAGGAAATCTATGCAATGTGGCTGAAAGTGCAAACCTTTATGGATGAAAATCATCCTCACACAGCTATTGCAAGCCGTGCTGGTGACTATTACACTGACAATGTTGTGAAACACTTTAGGGAAGTCATAAAGGAACGAGAGGTACAGGCCACTATGGACAGATATGTTGTGCGACAGAAGTCCAGTGACTCTGAAGCTGGTCCTAGTGGCATTAAAAGAAGAAGGGAAGTAACCCCAGAAAAGGACTTGACACCTCAAGTCTTAATGGAAGGGGATTCCCCTTCTAAACACTAGACTCTCTCCTCCTCCCATCCCATCAATCATCACCAGATCTTCAATAAAGGTAAGTGTCATGTAATTGTGCATGCCTTTTTCAGTTTGTGTGTATTAAAATTAATATTTCATGTGGTAAAAATGTTTTTTTTTCATACTCTGGGGTGTCTTGCACGGAGTAATTTGATTTCCATTATTTCTTATGGGGAAAATTCATCTGCATAACGATAATTTCGCATAACAATGAGCTCTCATGAACGGATTAATATCGTTATGTGGGGGTCCACTGTATTGTTAATATTAATCTTAGCTTAAGACTTGCAATAATATGTGGTCCTTATGGATTTAGAGCTTAATTTGATTACAATAATAATAATAAAACTGTAATTAGCTTAAGATTGCTTGAAATGCTATACATAGTTCTAGAGTTTTCCTTATTAACCTGCTATTGTAATTCTAACTTATATACGTATACGTATGTATTTGAAAAGTAGTTATCTAATCTTTTAATTTCATACATTTTTTACCACATCAGTCATTTCTCACCAAGGTAGGGTGACCTAAAGAAGAAAACACATTCATCACCACTCATTCAATAACTGTCCTGTCAAAGGTCAAAGACATCACAATTCAGATAACCCTCTGAACCGCAACATCCACAAGACCAATTTGTTTTCCTCAAATGATTTCATTCCATACATTTCATAAGTTTACACAACAGAATATACTGTACAGTAGCTTGTGTTTACAGGTGATTACAAACCATAAAAACATGTGAACAGCTAAGCATTCATCAATATCTGATGTGAGAGCTACCCTCGTCCACTGGGATCCCAAGCAGTTGGAGATGACTTCATTAAAGGCTCTTTCATTCCCCTACACACATGGCTCACACACAAAAAAGGGAATATTTTGGTACATACCTATCACAGGCAGCCACCAGACATATGGTAGTGAGAAAAATGATGAGAGCAAAAAATGCATGAGCCAAGCTTGAGGGATACAATAGGCCAGGAACTTTCATGGGATCTTTGTCCAGCAAAAATATCTGAAACAAAATTTCCTCTTAATTTATATAAGCTAACCTATAAAGATTCATTAACTTATATTAGGTACAACTTCCACCTGAAGTTCTCACAGATCACATACTTTTGGTCTATCTCAACTCATATCTGCCTTATACAACTTCACATTACCTCAACATTATTTTATTTAATGAATGCTTTCAAACAAAAAAAAAAAAAAAAAAAATATTTTTTTCTAATTTTTTGAGTATTTACTATATGTACTCTGAATTCTCTTATTTTCTACAATATTGTGCAAGTTACTAGTACATGTAATATAGTTTCACTTGCTCTTATTTCCAACTACTGATATTGCAATTTGTTTTGTAAGCATATACTGTACTGGAATTACTTAGTAAGTTTATTTAGGTACAGGTCCACATAAGTACAATTATCATATACTGTATAGTAACATAAGTGTAAATTACTTAAGATAACCCAAAAAAAGTCAGACAAAGTGACTTATTTCTATTGGATTCCTTGTAATATCTTATTATCTTTTAACTGCAATACATTTTTTACCATATTCACTGTAGCAGCAAATCATTCCTTGTATCAATTTCTTGCACAATTCACAGTTTACGTATTTATTTCTCTTTGATCAGAAGTTTAAATTACCATTAATTTTTAAATATCTCTAGTGTTTATTAGCTTAAGAAATACCCTCACACAGAATACATACAATAAACTCTCTCATTCATTCATGTTGATTCGCCGGTACTTCCAGCCCGGGTCTTCTCCAGATGGTGACCCGGCATTTAAAATTTTTTTATGTTAATGCCCAGGGTTTGTTACCTGGACCTTAGCAATGAGAGTCGCTACTCTCACCGCTGGGCAACAGCGACCAGTCCAATAAACTCTCTTATAACTTGTGCAATACATTCCTGAAAATAAGTACTTAATGAAAATTACAGGCATGTGAAAAGAACATATGAGAAAAAACAGGGTTACATTCCAAACACCTCCAAATTTGCCAAACATTGTTTTTTATATTGACAAAGATGTTAGGCCTCAATCTGAGAAGAACCAGACTGGCAGAGGCCCATTAGTCTTATGTTTTAATAGTGAGTGAAGTATGGAGAAACTTAAAACTGTATTGCCAAGTTGATTTATCCTTGATCAGGCAAGCAAGCAGGTAGGGTGGGTAAGTGGGTGGATTTGGGTAGGAAGGTGGCTAAGTGAATGAGTCTGGGTAGGTGAGTGGGTTTGGGTAGGTTTGGGTAGGTTTAGGTAGGATTGGGTAGCTCAGAGTTGGTGGGTGGGTGTGTTTGCATTTGTGCATGCATGTACAGTAGGCATATTTTTTTTTAACATATCAGTCATTTCCCACCAAGGCAGGGTGACCCAAAAAGAAAGAAAAAACTTTCATCATCATTCAACACTTTTACCATCACTCATACATAATCACTGTCTTTGCAGAGGCGCTCAGATACAACAGCTTAGACATCCCTCCAAATTTCCAATATCCCAAATCCCTACTTTAAAGTGCTGGGATTGTACGTACTTCCCATTTCCAGGACTTGAGTCCGGCTAACCGGTTTCCCTGAATCCCTTCACAAAATATTACCCTGCTCATACTCTAACATGCTCACACATGCTTGCTGGAAGTCCAAGCCCCTTGCCCACAAAACCTCCTTTACCCCCTCCCTCCCTCCAACCTTTTCGGGGATGACCCCTACCCCGCCTTCCTTTCCCTACAGATTTATACGCTCTCCAAGTCATTCTACTTTGTTCTGTTCTTTCTAAATGACCAAACCACCTCAAGAGCCCCTCTTCAGCCCACTGACTAATACTTTTAGTAACTCCACACCTCCTAATTTCCACACTATGAATTCTCTGCATAATATTTACACCACACATTGCCCTAAGACAGGACATCTCCACTGCCTCCAGTTGCCTCCTCGCTGCAGCATTTACAACCCATGCTTCACACCCATATAAGAGTGTTGGTACCACTATTCTCTCATACATTCCCCTCTTTGCCTCCGTGGATAACATTCTTTGTCTCCACAGATACCTCAATGCACCACTCACCTTTTTTCCTTCATCAATTCTGTGGTTAACCTCATCCTTCATAAACCCATCCACTGACAAGTCAACTTCCAAATATCTGAAAACTTTCACTTCTTCCATACTCCCTCCCTCCAATGCGATATCCAATTTTTCTTTATCTAAATCATTTGATACCCTCATCACCTTACTCTTATCTATGTTCACTTTCAACTTTCTACCTTTACATACGCATGTACGTATATCAATAAATTAAAGAAAAGTTAGCTTTGTGTTAAATAAACACATATGAAGTGAATATATTCTTTGATGGTAAAGGTTTCAGTAACTCAAATTACAGTCAACTTACCAACAGACAATGTGCTAGAGTTATCCCTGCAAGGAGACCTTGGCTTAGTACTGAGAAGGTTCTGAAGCCTCCTTGGAGAAAAATTGCATGGGAAGATCGTGTTGGAACCTGGCTAACATCATGAAGGTCTTCATTCTTTCTACGTACACCATTAAATTCATTTCTGGCCACAACAAATCCACCCAGTTTTTCATGATATATTGTACTTATATTATTAAGTGGATGTGAAGTTGAAGCAGCAAATATGAGCTTTGGTACTGATAATGGACAATCTTTATCCTCTTTAGTAACATTTATTATGTCATCATCCATTTCTTTTAGCTGAAGGCTTATGTAAGATTCTTCATTTGCATTGGTCACCAATAGCAACGTTGAATCCCTTTTTTTTTTGTGCTTCTTATTCTTAGGAGTCTCTTCTTCATCCGATGGTAGAGGTGGTGCTGAGGCCACATAATCTGATTCTTCATATTCATTTTTCATCAGAGGAATATCTGCCACTTTGAGTGACTTCGTTTCAAACTTATCATTAAGTATCTGTGCTTTATCATTTCCTTTCAAAGGTTTAATTTTTAAGTTATCAATGATGTAATCTTCTGACACATTGTCTCTGGTTGGTCTCTTTTCCTCTTGATACTGAAAATTATTTTCTCTGTTTTTATTTGTATCTAAGTCAGGTTCAGATTTCTGCTGTTTATCTTTTTGTTTTGCAGATCTCCTCTTTGTATCTTTAACTGTTACACTTGCTTCATCAAGTAATGCAGAAATCCTAGAAGAAAGAAGGTCTGTATCATTGGAGTCTTTCTCCTCATTAATTTTCTGTGGTGGAGCTTTAGGGAATGATGCTTTTGTGTTATCTCTGTAAGAATTACTAAAGCTGTTCTTCTCCTTTAGGGATTCTGCAGATGGTTCAGTTTTTATTCCTTTCTTATTACGATATGTCTTCTTTTCTGGAGATTCAATTTCTATAGCCAAGGAGGTTTCAAAGGATTCTTTGGATTTAACCTCCCATCGTCTTCTGCGGCTACCTCCAATACTTTTTGCAGAAGGTACTCTTTGCAAATCATTCATTATCCTGCAATGCATTGTTACAATTTGTTAATTAGTATATTGCATTTCAATATGAAATGTCTATACAATTTAAAATAATGGTTTACTTTGTTAAGTTAAACATTCCATACCATGTTAAGTTAAATGAAAGAAAACTATTTTCATGCCAAGTAATATATTATAATAATAATAATAATAATAATAATAATAATAATAATAATAATAATAATAATAATAATAATAATAATAATATAATAATAATAATAAAATAATAATAATAATACAGTGGAACCCCAAGTTGCGGTCATAATTCGTTCCAGAAGGTTGTTCAAGTGCTGTTACCAAACGAATTTGTTCCCATAAGGAATAATGTAAATTAGATTAGTCCGTTTCAGACCCCAAAAAAATAAACATACTTATCAATAATACACAATTACATAACTGTTCGAGTTGGGAGGTGGCCGAAACTCAGGGTACCACTGTACAGTAATTTTATAATTTTATAATAATTTATAATAATTTATAATAATTTATAATAATTTTATAATAATAATATTAATAATAGAGTGGAACCTCAGTACTCAAACAGCTCCCTACTTGAACAATTCAAACACTTTGTTCAGTAAAAAAACTGCTCGGTAGCTGACCATTTGCTTGTTACTCAACCAAACAAAAATGACTTGCCAGAACTTCACTGAAACTATTTCATGTTCACATTTTTGGTGTGTTTTTTGTATTATTTGTATAAATAAGTCATCACCATGGTGCCTACAAAGATTAGTGATAACAGTGAACCAAAAAGAAAATTGGTTGGGAAAAATTCATTTAGTACTCGAACAGCCTTCTGGAATGAATTAAGTTCGAGTACCGAGGTTCCACTGTAATAGTTTTGAATTTTGTTATTCTTGAGCACCTGTTCCTTCAAGTCATAAATGCATCAACAACAATGAATAGGAAATACCAAAGTTTACATTCAAGAGTGACGGTATACTATACTGGTAATTAAGAAGTACATACATTATTACTGAAGTAATAATGTACATGTATCAGAATTGGGCCTTTAAAAACCCAGCAACTATTTTAAGACAAATTGCTATTACAGGCTGAGTGACAAGCATGCGTACATGCACGTTATTCTGTAATTTACTTCCTATTGTAAACTTAAGAATCTGGGGCTTTGTTTAGTTATCCTTGATAAAATCTTCATAATTTATCACAACTATATGCTTAGAACAATTATGTGCTTAACAGAAATAATTTAGAAATTAAAAAGCACCATACCTGTATATAATATCATGAAACCTAGCAACTCCTCTGTACTCGCCTAGTTATGATTGCGGAGGAGGGGGTTGGAAGCAAATCTCACATTTTGTTCTTTCCCACCTATTAACCTCTGGGATCTTCCTCACTCATCAGGATCTGCATATCTCTTCACTTGTCAGCCTCTGCAGCCTCCCTCATCCATCAGCCTTGGGGCTCTTCCTCACCTGTAAGCCTCTGGTATCCTCCTCACCCATCAGCTTCTGGGATCCTCCTTACCTGTCAGCCTCTGGGATATTCTTCACTTATTAACCTCTGGGGTCTCACCCATCACACTCCAGAATCCTCCTCACCCATCACCTGGGATCTTACTCACCCATCCCATCACCCTCTAGTATCCTCCTCACCCATCCCATCACCCTCTAATATCCTCCTCACCTATCCCATCACCCTCTAGTATCCTCACCCATCCCATCACCCTCTAGTATCCTCCTCACCCATCCCATCACCCTCTAGTATCCTCCACACTCATCCCATCACCCTCTAGTATCCTCCTCACCCATCCCATCACCCTCTAGTATCCTCCTCACCCATCCCATCACCCTTTAGTATCCTTCTCACTCATCCCATCACCTTCTAGCATCCTCCTCACCCATCCCATCACCCTCTAGTATCCTCCTCACCCATCCCATCACCTTCTAGTATCCTCCTCACTCATCCCATCACCTTCTAGCATCCTCCTCACTCATCCCATCACCCTCTAGTATCCTCCTCACTCATCCCATCACCCTCTAGTATCCTCCTCATGCATCCCATCACCCTCTAGTATCCTCACCCATCCCATCACCCTCTAGTAGCCTCCTCACTCATCCCATCACCCTCTAGTATCCTCCTCACCTATCCCATCACCCTCTAGTATCCTCCTCACTCATCCCATCACCCTCTAGTATCCTCCTCACCCATCCCATCACCCTCTAGTATCCTCCTCACCCATCCCATCACCCTCTAGCATCCTCCTCACTCATCCATCACCCTCTAGTATCCTCCTCACTCATCCCATCACCTTCTAGCATCCTCCTCACCCATCCCATCACCTCTTAGTAAACTCCTCACCCATCCCATTACCCTCTAGCATCCTCCTCACTCATCCCATCACCCTCTAGTATCCTCCTCACTCATCCCATCACCCTTCTAGCATCCTCCTCACCCATCCCATCACCCTCTAGTATCCTCCTCACTCATCCCATCACTCTCTAGTATCCTCCTCACTCATCCCATCACCCTCTAGTATCATCCTCACTCATCCCATCACCCTCTAGTATCCTCCTCACTCATCCCATCACTCTCTAGTATCCTCCTCACTCATCCCATCACCCTCTAGTATCCTCCTCACTCATCCCATCACCCTCTAGTATCCTCCTCACTCATCCCATCACCCTCTAGTATCCTCCTCACTCATCCCATCACTCTCTAGTATCCTCCTCACTCATCCCATCACCCTCTAGTATCATCCTCACTCATCCCATCACTCTCTAGTATCCTCCTCACTCATCCCATCACCCTCTAGTATCCTCCTCACTCATCCCATTACCCTCTAGTATCATCCTCACTCATCCCATCACCCTCTAGTATCCTCCTCACTCATCCCATCACCCTCTAGTATCCTCCTCACTCATCCCATCACCCTCTAGTATCCTCCTCACTCATCCCATCATCCCCTGGTATCTTCCTCACTCATCAGCCTTTGGAATTTTTCTTCAATCATCACTCTCTGGGGTCCCCCTTACCCGTCACCTTCTAGAATCTTCTTCACTCGTCACTCTGGGATCTTTCTCACCCATCAGCCTCTCTGATCTTCATCCGTCATCCTTTGGGATAAATTTTACCCAACAGCCGCTGGGATATCGTTCTCACCCATCAGAGTGGAATCTTTCTTACCTGTCAGCCTCTTTAATCTTTACCCGTCAGCCTGTGGTATCTTCTTCACCCGTCAGCCTCTGGGATCTTCTTCACCCGTCAGCCTCTGGGATTTTTTTCCTCACCCGTTAGCTTCTGGGCTCATTTTTAGAGCTGGAATCTGTTGTTGTATTTGTTGTTAGAGGTTCAGAGGGCCACCACAGATTTTACCGTACTGAAGCCTGCTTCCTGGGAGTCCGGGGAGTATTTATTGCACATATGTGGGGTGGAACTGGAAAAAAAAATTTCCTTCGGAAACAGAAACAGTAGCAATTGTTCCTTATTGGGTTAGAGATTGTTTTTTCTTTGCACGAGCCCCGGCAGAATGGAATGTAAGACGCCGCCAATTAGTATTGCAGTTGTTAAAGGCTGCCGAAGCTGTTGCCTTACTAAGCAACTGTTCCTAGCTCCGACTAACGCATACGAAGTCTCCCTTATTATCAACGCACTAAAAAACAAGGCAGGAGATTTAAATACCTTACCACCCTTTATATACAAAAAACTGTCACAAGTGCTATCACCAATCATTGCAACACTCTTTAACAAATCCATAAAATCCTCCACCTTCCCTACAGTACTCAAAATAGCAAGGGTCACCCCGATCCACAAAGGAGGAGACCAAACAGAGTTGAATAACTATAGGCCAATATCCAACTTACACCCTCTCTCAAAAATCTTCGAAAAATTAATTCATAAACGAATCTACTCCTACCTTATCTCCCAAAACATACTCAACCCCTGCCAATTTGGGTTCAGGCCTAATAAAAATACTAATGATGCTATTATACACATGCTAGAACATATATACACTGCAATAGAGAAAAAAGAAGTCCCACTGGGGATCTTCATTGACTTACGTAAAGCTTTTGATACAGTTGACCATGACTTGCTCCACGTAAAATTGTCACACTATGGTATAAGAGGGCACTCCCTCAACTACCTCAAGTCATACCTCAGCAACAGAAGCCAATATGTGTACGCAAATGGGGCAAACTCTTCTGCGCAACCAATTACAGTTGGTGTCCCACAGGGAAGTGTCCTTGGCCCTCTTCTCTTTCTCCTATACATAAATGACCTTCCAAATGCTTCGCAATTACTCAAACCCACACTATTTGCAGATGACACTACATACGTCTTCTCTCACCCGAGCCCAGTCACGCTAGCCAATACTGTAAATACCGAATTACAGAAAATATCTACCTGGATGAGGACTAACAAACTTACACTAAACATTGACAAAACCTACTTCATTCAGTTTGGTAACAGAGCTACAGATGTCCCTCTTAACATAATGATAAACGGATCACCTATCACAAAGCTAACAGAGGGAAAATTCTTAGGAATCCACCTTGATAATAGACTCAAATTTCATACACATATACAACAAATTTCTAAGAAAATTTCCAAGAATGTAGGCATACTATCGAAGATACGGTACTATGTTCCACAGTCAGCCCTCCTGGCCCTATATCACTCTCTTATTTACACCTATCTCACCTATGGAATTTGTGCATGGGGCTCAACAACAATTAACCATCTCAGACCACTAATTACCCAACAAAAGGCTGCAGTTAGAATGATAACAAATTCTCACTACAGGCAGCACACTCCACCAATATTCAATACACTAAACCTTCTCACCATACAAAACATCCATACTTATTACTGCACCTATTACATACATAGAACACTTAACTCTGATATTAACCCTCCCCTCAAACATCTCCTTGCCAACCTCAACAGAACACATGACCATAATACAAGGCACAGATCACTCTTTGATGTTCCTCGTGTCCATCTCACACTATGCAAAAACTCAATGCACATAAAAGGCCCTAAAATCTGGAATTCATTACCTGTAAATATAAAAGAAACACTACCTGTTTATAAATTCAAGTCTCTTCTCAAAGATCACTTACTCACCCAAAACCAAATAAATACTGAATAACTGAACCTTATAAATTGTATATCTTAAATGTTTCTCACAATTATATCACATAAATGTTAAACCTAAAACCCAATCTAACTTTATTATTTTTTAAATACACTACCTAACAGAATACTCCATACGACTGAATGTACAACAATGCATGCAACCATATGACCTGTCTTTGTAATACTCATTTGTGCTTTATAGTTATCTGTTTACAATAATGTATTATCACTGATTTCATCATTGCTTAGTTAATTTTAAGCCAGCCCGAAATGCTATGCATAGTATAAGTGGCTTTGCATGCTGCTCTTATCTGTATTTTTTTGTACCTCTGTATGTATGGCTCAAATTGTTAATAAATAAATAAATAAATAAATAAATAAATAAGCCTTACTTCTTGAGAATTGGAAACTATGCTCCAGTTCCCCGAATTAAGCCTGAATGCCTTCCACATCCCCCCCCCGGCGCTGTATAATCATACGGGTTTAGCGCTTCCCTTATTATTTAATAATAAAATTCTTGGAGCGAAAAACTTTTAATTTTTATTATTTTTTTAATTATAATTTGAAATGATACAGAGAAGTAAAGGATACAATTTAAAGTGCAGTCTAGCCCCTTTGTATGCTCATTTAGGAAGCTTAAAATTAAACTTAAGATTACTAAGATTGATATTTCAGTGGTACAAAAACTTATTGAAACCAGATACATTAGTACAATTGAGTACATGACTGGTCTATGTCATTACTGTGTGCTGTAAATAGTATGTAGGTATTGCTTTGGTAATGAGTTTAATAGTAACAAATTTTGATTGGTCCAGGTTGACATTTATGAGATAACAATAATGAGAATACAATTATTCAGTTTTATTTATGTGGGTGAGTAAGCTGATTTTTAAGCCTGAAAGACTTAATCCTAAACAGACATGTTTTGGTTTATCATTCCCCGGTAATGAATTCCAGATTTTAGCCTTTTGGTTCATTGAGTTTTTCATAGTGTGATGGACACGATGATATCAAAAATTGAATCTGTCAGTAGGTCATGGATTCATTAAGGGAAGAAGACCTTGAGCGAGTTTATCGGGTTAGTTAAATTAGTATTAAGTGCAGTTACTAAGTATGGATTTTTGTTGGTAGAATTATTAAAAGTTTAAATTTGTAATGAGTTTTGCCTGTAGGGGAATTTGTTTCATTCTTGCTGCAGTTTTGTTGGTGATAGTATGGTCTGAAATGAATTTAATTAAGTTGTTGGAGCACAGCTAAATTCCATAGGAGATAGGGGTAAATAAGTATTATTAGTGGAGGGCTGATTTGGAATAGCTAATTTTAAAGCCTACGAGTCTTGATTTTTTTAGGGAGGCCAATCCCATGATGGGCACTCTTCAGGTCACTTTTTATCTAGGCTGGAATAGCTGCACTCTACAGCACCTTTCAGGCAGGTGAAAATTGCCGACCTAGAAAATGTACAGAGAACCTTCACGGCGCGCATAACGGAGATAAAACACCTCAATTACTGGGAGCGCTTGAGGTTTCTAAACCTGTATTCCCTGGAACGCAGGGGGAGAGATACATTATATACACCTGGAAAATCCTAGAGGGACTGTACCGAACTTGCCACAAAAATCATCCATACGAAAGCAAAAGACTTGCAGACGATGCACTATCCCCCAATGAAAAGCAGGGGTGTCACTAGCACGTTAAGAGACCATACAATAAGTGTCAGGGGCCCGAGACTGTTCAACTGCCTCCCAGCACACATAAGGGGGATTACCAACAGACCCCTGGCAGTCTTCAAGCTGGCACTGGACAAGCACCTAAAGTCAGTTCCTGATCAGCCGGGCTGTGGCTCGTACGTTGGTTTGCGTGCAGCCAGCAGCAACAGCCTGGTTGATCAGGCGCTGATCCACCAGGAGGCCTGGTCACAGACCGGGCCGCGGGGGCGTTGACCCCCGAAACTCTCTCCAGGTAAACTCCAGGTATATGTGTTTGAAATTTGAGTCTATTATCAAGGTGGATTCCTAAGAATTTTCCCTCTGTGAGTTTTGTGATAGGTGATCCATTTATCGTTATGTTAAGAGACACATCTGTAGCTCTGTTACCAAACTGAATGTAGTAGGTTTTGTCAATGTTCAGAGTAAGTTTGTTGGTCCTCATCCAGGTTGATATTTTCTGTAATTCGGTATTTACAGTATTGGCTAGCATGACTGGGCTCGGGTGAGAGTAGACGTATGTAGTGTCATCTGCAAATAGTGTGGGTTTGAGTAGTTGCGATGCATTTGGTAGGTCATTTATGTATATGAGAAAGAGAAGAGGGCCAAGGACACTTCCCAGTGGGACACCAACTGTAATTGGCTGTGCGGAAGAGTTTGCCCATTTGTGTACACATTGGCTTCTGTTGCTGAGGTATGACTTTAGGTAGTTGAGGAGTGCCCTCTTATACTATAGTGTGACAATTTCGTGGAGAAGTCGTGGCACTGTATCAATAAGCTTTACGTAAGTCATTGAAGATCCCCAGTGGGACTTCTTTTATTCTCTATTGTTGTATAATTATGTTCCAGCATGTGGAAATAGCATCATTAGTATTTTTATTAGGCCTGAACCCAAATTACAGGGGTTGATAATGTTGTGGGGATGAGGTGGATAGATGAACGCTTAGGATTAATTTTCAAGATTTTAGGAGAGGGTAGTAATTGGATATTGCCTATAGATCAAGTCCCCTACATTATCAAGGGAACCCTTGCTATGTTTGAGAACTGTAGGAAAGGTAGAGGATTCAATGGATTTGTTAAAGTGTTGCAATGATTGGTGATAGTACATGTGACAATTTTTTGTATATAATGGGTGGTAAGGTATTTAAATCTCCTGTCTTGTTTTTTAGTTTGTTGATAATAAGGGAGACTTCAGTTGGGTTAGTCGGAGCTAGGAACAGTGTATTCGGGTAGTTGCCAGTGAGGTAGTCACTGGGTGGGGTATCTGAGCTTGGGATTTTATTGGCAAGGCTTTTTCCTATAGTGGAGAATTTGTGGGGGAATTTTAAAGGAGGCAAAGTTTCCTCCGGAAAGAGATATAGAAACACTAAGTTCCCGATTAGGTCAGGTAAATTCCCTTGTTTAAATCCTTGCAGAGCTAGACACCCACACACCATCCCCATGACTAAGTAATATCAGGCTTTCCTGAAGCTGATATATGCCCGAAATGTTCATGCATTTTACTAC